GCGGAAGAGAGGAGGCGACGGGAGGAGGCTGAGGCGAGGGCTGAGGAGGATCGACGGAGGATGGAGCAGATGTTTTAGTATATTCAAGGTCTTGGAGCTTACATAGGCTATGTTCCGCCACCGATGATATTCACTCCACCAAATGATCCTCCTGTCACTCCTGTGAGTTTCTCTACCTTAAATCTAAATGTGAATGTGGATATGGATATATGAATGTGAATCCAAATGATATGTTGAGACAAATGCACCATGATATGTGAATATGCATATGAGGTTGTCGGTCATCGTACCGTTGTTTTGTTGTAGGTTTTGGACACCTCACCGTGCAGGGGAGGTGCTGCCAAAATTTCGAACTGACACTAATATGTTGCTTTTTTCAAGTTTTTAGAACCTACCTTAAATCTTGTCTCACACATGCAATCACTTCTCTTTTGTGCAGGGCCAATCGGTGGCGTTGAATGATGTTCATGGCACACCTCCAGCTCAGGGCACACCTCCGTCGCAGTGGGACCGGTGGAGTGGCCGTCAACAATAGAGGTAGATGGACTTGTGCTGCTGATGCTTATTTGTGAATGGTGGCACTTGTGGCGGCACTTGGATGATATTTGTGGACTATGTGATACTTGTGGACAACTTGTGATGATATTTGTCATGGTCATGGATTATATGTGATGGCTGTGTGATATATGTGATTGTTGTGTGATATGTGATATATATATATGTGATGGTTTTGTGATATATGTATGTGTGGATGCAATAAACAAAAAAATTTCAAAAAAAGCAAATTTCTCAGCTATGCCGAGCGCAATCACGAAGACACTCGGCAAAGCTGGGAAGTTTGCCGAGTGCTATGGTCATTGCACTCGGCAAAGGCAGGGAGGCTTTGCCGAGTGCCACCAGTAAGACACTCGGCAAAGCCTCCCTGCCTTTGCCGAGTGCCGCCCATTAGCCACTCAGCAAAGCGGCCACCTTTGCCGAGTGTAGTAGGACTGACACTCGGCAAAGAGGGCGGGCTTTGCCGAGTGTCCTCCGTTAGGCGCTCGGCAAAGCGACCGTCACCGTCAATTGGCACCGTCAGGCAACTTTTCTTTGCCGAGTGGTTTACGGGCACTCGGCAAAGCCTTTGCAGAGTGCCCGACAAAAGACACTCGGCAAAGAGGCATTTGCCGTCACCGGCTCTGCCGAGTGATCTTTGCCGAGGGTTACACTCGGCAAAGGCTTTGCCGAGTGTATATGGGGATTTGCCGAGTGTCACAGGCACTCGGCAAAGAGCCCGAGTCCGGTAGTGTGAGATCATGTCAGTTTGATTGAGTTCGACTTCTTCAGCGAGTCGGCCTCGTTCAATTTGACTACAAGTCAATACCGTTTAATTGCAACACCTTCTATGAGTATTTGTATCCTGCACGGATGCGTGCGTTGGTTTCATGCCTAACTTGTAAAGCACCATCATGTTTATGAGATTAAAACAAAAAATCCCATGCATATCTGAGTACGTGGCGGGTATATGTATATGCCGTGCATGTACGTGACTTTCTACTACGCGTAGAAAAAGTTAATAAAAAAATAGCCTGACTCGATGGTCGGAACAACGCGATCTGCAAGATGCGATTTTTTTCATACCTAGTAGAGGATGCCAATTTGATCTATTTCACATGCCGTGTAGGACAATGGTTAGTGGATACATACCACATATGGCGTTTGACATTGTCGTAGAACTGCCTGCTTGACAACAACGATGCATGTTGATGTAGTGCTGATCGGCAGCAGGCAGAGGTAGCAGATCCATTCTGCTAATAACGTCGGGGATATCGACGTCGTCGAAGTAGTTGTGGCGAGATATCGGCACAAGTGCGGGTGTCGACGATCGGCGGCAGCTTCAACAACGATGTCGACGTAGAGCTTGTCGTGCTGATAACGTGTTATAAAACATGTTGCCAGCGGTTAGGACATTTCCCTCTCCGTCTCTAATGATCAACACAGTAGATAAATTAGAGAACAAATAGACACAAGCTAAATTCAGCCAATAAAATGAGTGTTTGACTACTTTTTTATATGGAGAGACTTCGACTGTGCTATTTTAGGATGGATAGCGGCACGATCTTCTGACATGCCTCCCGCGCCGCACGGACCTCGGCGAGGACGCGCGCCGCCAAGACCAGCCGCGACGACAGAAGCCAGAAGAACCACGTCAGCGCCGACGACGTGGTCTCGCGCCCGGCGATGAGGAAGTTGAGAACGATGTCCCTTAGCGCCTCGTCGTCGCCGTGCTCGGCACTCGCCACGAACCACGACAGGACGGAAGTCGTCTCTGTGGTGGTCCACCGACGCGCTCGCCCTCCAGCGCCAGGCACGGACGATGCCCATGACGAACCCGTGCTCGTCCGCGATGACCTTCTTGAGCCGCCGCTCAGTGCCGACGTTGAGCCACTTCTTGACCTTCCACGAGACCTCGACGGGGTCCAGGAACGCCGGGCGTGGAGCTCCACAACGATGAACTCTATTCATCCAAGCACCAAGGTGACGTTGTGCTGAAAGCGTATGTTGCAAGCGTATGAAACAATGTTTTAGATATTTCAGAGGTATATTGCAAGTGTTTTTGATGGATGTTGAAAAAGTACATCGGAATGTTGCAAATGTATGTTTCCAATGTTTCATTTGTGTTTTCAGACATATGTTGCAGGTGTTTTACATGGATGTTGTATATGTTTCGCATATATATTGCAAGTTTTTTATCTGAATGTTGCATATGTTTCACACATATGTTGCATATGTTTTATCTGGATGTAGCATATGTTTGCAATGGTTAATACACACGTATTTTCCTAGTGTTTTAAACGTATGTTGCAAGTGTTTTAACTGTTTCGGGTGTATGTTGGAAGTGTTTCGTCTAAATATTACAAAAGTAGACCTAGTGTTGCACATATTGCAGTTGGACCCATCTGCCGTAACCGCCTGCTGTAGCTACTGGATCCGTCTGCATGCGCGTGGGTGTGGAGGAGGCATAGGTGACAGGCATGGGAAACCGTGCGAGGGCAGATCGAGATGCGGCCCCGACATGGGCGCGCGTAGGCGTGGGAAATGGAGCGGCGCGGGCCCTCACGTGAAGCTGGCGCAGGCGTGGGGGCTAGCATAGCAGCTAGCATGCCTATGCAGGGGCGCGGACAGGCGTAGCAGGCACGGACGTCTAGACACAAGCGCCCATTCGGATGTCCAGGCGCTAGCCTGACCGTTCGAGAGAAAAAAAACTTTTCAGTTTACATCGGAACATCTAGATTTGTGTTTGTATTCGAATCAAATCTATATCTATATCTATACCTAATAATAAATAGGTAAAATTTTAGCCTATTTTTTTGGTCCATCCATTTTTTTGTCCATATCCCTTTAACTAACGGACAATGAAGAGTTTCTTCCATCCGGACTTATATATATAATCCGTGTTCATACGATTTAGAATAGCTATATTGTCTAGCGCATACGGAGTTCGATTCTAAAACATATTGGGTCGAATATTGACCGCGACTCATAAATCATGCTATATTTGTTGTTTTTTAGAAATAGCAGAAGTTAGAACGAAGAGTATTGAAAAATCGAAAAAAAATTGAACATGAAACCAAACAGAAAAAATGAAAAGATACAACGTGGAGAAAAAGGAAAAGAACAAAAAATGAAAACAGAAACAGAAAAAGAAAAAAAGAAAAGATACACAACATGGAGAAAAAGGAAAAACAAAAAAAGGAAAAACTAAAAACGAAAACAGAAAAAAGAACGCAAGAAAAAGAGAAAGCAAAAAAAGGAAAACAGGAAGAGGAAAACGAACGGAAGAAGGAAAACGGAAACAGTACGTCCCTCTGCTCGGCTCAGCCTCGGATACAGTACGTCACACGACCAGCCCGTCCCCGGTGTTTCCTTGTGCTCCGTTTTATTTATTTTTTTATTGGTTGAGTGTTTCCTTTTTCATCCTCCGCGTAGTTTCTCTGGCTTATATCATTTTCTATTCATATAGATATAGATTAAAGTTATGACATATTACGAATAAATATTTTTGTGCTTTACAATCGAAAAAAAGCCAAAGTTGTACTCTCTCTATTCTAAATTGTAAATCGTTCTGGCTTTTCAAGATATATAAAACTTTTACTATGTATTTAGACATAATGGATATGTAGAAGCGTAGCAAAAGCCATCTATCTAAAAAAAAAAAGTCCGAACAACTTACAATTTGGAACAATGAGAGTATTTAAATTAGTTGCAGACTTAATAGGACATTGTCATATATTATTAATGATATTAACTTTGTTAAGGATGTCATGATCATCATAAATAAATTATAGCCATTAAAATTTATGAAAAATTAAAACATAAATAGATATATAACATATTTGTCCTTATTTCCTATTAATGTCTGGTAGTTTTTTTTCTCTCCCGTTGTAACACACAGGCATATTTGCTAGTACGATAAAAAAAATAGTGCAATCCGAATTTATATTTGACCGTGTTGAATTGCATCCGTTTCTGTCTCTATACACTTCCCGTATAGTATATGGATACCCCGCTCGAAGCATTGTGCATTGATAAGTACTCCCTCAGTCCCTTATTGTTTGTCATTTTCGGTTTTCGTGCCACAAGTTTCACTCGATTGGTAGAAAATACGTGCAACATTTGTTTCTCCAAATAAATTTATTAAAAAACTAGATTTAAATATCTTTCCAATAATACTAATTATGTACTATAAATATTAATATTTTTTAATATATATTTAATCAAAGTTGTTTCTTAAAAGCGCAAACGACAGATAAAAAGGGACGGAGGGAGTATATACTACTGGGTATAGTAGTTTATAGTAATATTTTAATTCGACAATCCGTTCCATCGCCGTATCGTGGAATCGTTCCCCGTTTTCTTGGAACGCCAGCGCCGTGTTGCCCTCCATCTCCACCACGCCGCCGCCGATTCCTCTGCTGGGCAAGTTCGTTCGAGCGTGAGCCGTGAAAACGGAGGACGACATGGCGGCGGACAGCGACCTCGGTGCTGAGGCGCTGCCCAACGAGGTAGTCGTGACGGAGATCCTCGCCCGGCTGCCAGCCAAGTCCGTGGGGCGCTTCCGCTGCGTTTGCCGCGGGTGGTCCGCGATGCTCTCCTCCGACTACTTCATCGATCTCCACCGCCAGCGAGCCAACAGAGTGGACCACCACAGGCTGCTCCTCACCGCGGTTGGGTCCTCCTACGACGGCTACCTGTATTCATGGCAGCTCGGCGACGGTGCGGTCGAGAAGCTGATGCGAGACGATTGGTTACAGTCAGTCGTGCCTCTCAACAAGCCCTACCGTGGCCCTTGCTCCGGCGGCTACTACGTCGTCAACCCTTGCTCCGGCGAGGCCCTGGCTCTGCCAGACAGCCAGGTGCCTTTTAAGATGGCATACAAAACTTCAGGATGGAGCAGACGATCCGTGGAGCCACCCTGCTATCTTAGGGTCTCCTACGGCCTTGGTTACTGCACGACGAGGAAGGAGTACAAAGTCGTGCTCGTGCGCTTGTTCTCCGACCCTGAACCTGGAGATGGAGGCGGTGGTTTTACGCCCACAACATGCGAGGTCTTCGTCCTCGGCACAACTGGAACTGGTTACTGGAGGCCTAGTGCTGAGAGACCTCCCATGTGCTCCGTGCGCATGCTTCTCAAGTCACTCTGGATTGCCCCAGTAGGTGTATATTACTCGGCTGCTGGTACTACTCTGAAGATCATGTTTGGGACAGGCTCTTGCAAGGTGTTTGCAGTGGACTCCAATGGCGGCGGCGACCCAGAGATTCTACCCACGCCAGAGGATACCATCATTGGCAAACTGCGAGGATGACTATTTACCGACGATTGGTCTATATGAGGAGAGTCTTGTGTCCCTGGGCCGCACAATTGAGGACATGATCTTCTCATCGCCAACAACCGCAGCTTGGTTCAACATCCTCGAGTGGCTGCCAGCACGCTCCATTTCGGAGCTGAGAATGGTCTGCAGGGAGTGGCGTGGAATGATCATGAGTGATTGTTTCATCCACTCGCACGCCGTATCCACTACGGGAAACAGAGACTTTGCCGAGTACAAAATTCTTTGCCGAATGTTAAAAATCGAGCACTCGGCAAAGACCTTCTTTGCCAAGTGCTACACTTGGCAAAGAATTGCACTCGGCAAAGATTTATTTGCCGAGTGCCCGGCACTCGGTAAAGACGGGCACTCAGCAAAGGACTTCTTTGCCGAGCGCCAGGCTCTCGGCAAAATCTCTACACTCGGCATAGTCTGCCCGTGAAAACGGCGTCCGGTCACGGCCTTCTTTGCCGAGCGCCTGCAGTTAGGCACTCGGCAAAGATTTGTTTTTTTTAAAAAAAATTCTTTGCCGAGTGCCCCAGATCTGGCACTCGGCAAAGATTTAAATTTTTTTTAAAAAAAATTCTTTGCCGAGCGTCTCAGATCTGGCGCTCGGCAAAGAAATTTTTTTTATTTTTAAAATACTTTGCCGAGTGCCCTTGGGACGGCACTCGACAAAGATTTAATTTTTTTTTATTATTTCTTTGCCGAGTGCTCCTGTGGATACACTCGGCAAAGAGGAAATTTTAAAAAAAAATTAAACCATTCTTTGCCGAGTGCCTGATGGCTGGCACTCGGCAAAGACACCCTTTGCCGAGTGCCATGCCCCGGCACTCGGCAAAGTTTTTTTTGTTTTTTTGTTTTTGGCCTTCAATTTTTTTGTGCAGCCCTTTTAAAGCACCAGGAACTCCTAGTTACAATTTGGGGATTTTTTGTGGCTTTATGTTATATTTAGTTACTTTATTTCGTTTACTTGAATTTTTCCGGAAATTAGAAATTTGAACTGCACGTGGTACGAATAATGGAGTTTAATGATTCGAAAATTGATAGTCATGTTAGTGAGTGTTGTGAGAGGCCGTATCTAGGAACGGACCCAAAATTTTGGACATCTTGTTAACGAAACATGCCCGCAAAATTGCGTGTGAAGTGTTTTTAAATTCTATAAAAAGCAAATGAAGTCCGAAAATCATGAAACTTGTTGAGATGTCGTGATATCATATGTGGAGGCTATTATAAAAATTTTAGAAGATTTCGTGCACGTTGTCACGTACGATGCTTACAAACCAGGACATCTCTACATGTGATATCAGATAGCCCATGCGCTGAAGCCGCATGGCCGTGCCCTCGGCCGGCCCTTCCTCGTCAGACCACCGACTGCTCTGCCTTCATGGCCGCTGTCACTTCCCCCGCCGGCCCTGCCCTTCCCCCCCACCATTGGCGCCCACATACCTGTGGCCTTGCAGGTTCCCCTACTGGCCCTTCCCGGTCACGCCTGACCGACCCTGCCTGCCCCTGCGCTGGCCACGCCCTTTTTTCGCTCGCACTCGCCTCGGCCGCGCCCGTGGACCTCGCCTCGACGCCGTCTCAGGTTCGACCTGTCCCGACTCCACCCGATCCGGACGCCGCCCGCCCCTACCCCATCGCCCGTCAGGTATGCCTTCTCACTTATTATTGTCGAGGTAGTGGTAGTTGTAGTAGTATTAGTTGTACTAGTGGTAGTATTAGTACAACTAGTGGTAGTATTAGTAGTAGAATTAGTGGTAGTAGTAGTAGAAGTAGTGGTAGTAGTAGTAGTACAACTAATGGTAGTAGTGGTAGCAATAGTGGTAGTAGTAGAAGAACCAATGGTAGTAGTAGTAGCAATAGTGAAAGTAGTAGTACAAGTAGTGGTACTACTTGGATATATTCTTCTGCATGGATTGATATCCAAACTACAAGGCTTCTGTTGAGCCATATGTGCTTGTCGGCCATCGTGCCGTTGTTTTTTGCAGGTTTTGGAAACCTCACCTTGCAGGGGAGATTCTGCCGAATTTTTTTGTAAATGACAGTATTTTGTTCCATTTTTGTAGAGAAGAGCCCGTCGGAGTTGAGTCGGAGTTCTCGCCACCGTGCCGGTCTGCCTGCACCGCGTCGTCTCGCCACTACACCGACCCACCACGGCCCCGCTAGCCTGACTCCGCCGCCACCCTAGGTATAACCCCTCTTTTCGTATCATTGTCGTAGATCGCGTAACCCAGTTAGGCGTCTCCCATTCGAAAGAGATACGGTTGGAGGTATGCAGATCTTTGCATATCTATGACCGTATCTATTTCGTATTGTCCACGCTTTTTGGACAGCCCGCGGATGCGTAGATGGGTTAGTTCCCATGTTCTGCTCTGGTCCGAGACAGAGTTTCGGCATCACCTTCCTGTTGTTCTCCGGATACACACTCTTCTTTGGCAGGACGTGTATCTAGAGAACAGTGGGGAGGTGTTGCCGAAATTCTATCTCAGATAGGAGTAGAGCATGGAAACTAACCTCATCTACGCATCTGCGGGTGGGATTAGGACCTATCCTCACCTATTAGACAGTAGGAACACCATGTAGATGCAATTGATGGTTACATTACTTGCCGATACATATGTTAGAGGATGGATGACCGTCAGTGGATGTACATGGGCTGGAGAAGTCAAAGTGATTACACCACGGAATGGATGAACAAGACCAATGCTTTCTTGAACAGTGCATTTGGCAACGCTGCTAGAGGACATTGCCTAGTTTTGTGTCCCTGCAGCAAATGTGGAAACAGGACAAGGGTAAACAAGGTGGAAATGGGTAAACATCTTGTGAAGAATGGATTTACGTCGGACTACACCCGGTGAGTCCACCATGGTGAAGCCCATCGTATGAGAGAGGAGGTGGTGAGACCACGGGTGGAGGCTTTTGATGCTGATGCGGGGGTAGCAGACATGTTAGATGACTTTCACCAAGGATAGTTCGATGAGGGACGTGAGAAGGAGGAGATGGAGGCAGCCGCACAGGCGTTCTACGATATGATGGACTCGGCATAGAAACCCCTTCACGATCGGTCAACGGTGTCTCAACTGGATGCCATTGAACGCTTAATGGGGTTGAAGTCTGAGTTAAACTTGAGTCGACCTGGCTTCGATAAGATGTTGGCCGTGATTGGCACCCTGCTTCCGGAGGGCCACATTCTGCCAAAGAGCATGTACGAGTCACAGAAACTCCTTTGAGCACTTACGATGCCGTATGAGCAGATACATGCTTGTTCAAAAGGGTGCGTCCTATTTAGGAAAGAACACGAGCATGCAAAGTTCTGTCCAAAGTGTAAATCCTCCAGGTACCTGGAGGTAGACTCTGATGATGGCCAGAAGAGGCAACTTACGATCCCCATGAAAATCCTATGGTACCTTCCGTTCCTACCGGGGATCCAACGGCTATACATGACCGAGGAATCCGCGAAACAGATGACATGGCACAAAAATGGCAAACGGTACAATCCTGACAAGATGGTACATCCATCCGATGGTGAAGCTTGGATCCGCTTTAATGACAAACATCGTGACAAAGCAAATGAGGCTCGTAATGTACGTGTCGCGTTGGCAACAGATGGGTTCAATCCTTATGGAATGATGGCTGCCCCATACACATGTTGGCCCGTCTTTGTTATCCCCCTTAATCTCCCTCTCGGTGTCTCCTTTCAACGACATAACGTATTCTTGTCGTTGATAATTCCTGGACACCCAGGGAGTAATATGGGTGTGTTCATGGAGCCCATGTTTGATGAATTGGTCCGTGCTTGGGACGAAGGGGTATGGACATACGATCGAGCTACAAAGACAACCTTCAAAATGCACGTTTGGTACCACTACTCTCTGCATGACTTCCTGGCGTATGGGATATTCTGCGCCTGGTGTGTTCACGGGAAGTTCCCATGCCCAATATGCAAGGAAGGTGTGAGGTTTATTTGGTTGCAGAAGGGTGGCAAGTATTCGTCGTTTGACAGACATCGTCAATTCCTACCTCTTGACCATCCATTCAGACAAGACATCAAGAACTTTATGAAAGGTGTCAAAGTGACAAACCCTGCACCGCGGATGATGAATGGTGCCGAGGTTCATGCTCAGATAGGTGCTCTCGTGCCCAATGAAGAAGGTGGTTTTGTGGGATATGGTGAGCAGCATATGTGGACTCATATCTCGGGCATGACGAGGCTCCCCTATTTTGATGACCTTCTTCTACCACATAACATTGATGTAATGCACACTGAAAAGAATGTCGCCGAGGCACTTTGGGCAACACTCATGGACACTGAAAAGTCTAAGGACAACCCAAAGGCTAGAGTAGACCTGGCAACGTTGTGCGATAGACCAAATCAAGAGATGCAACCTCCTAGTCGTGGCAAGACCTGGAGAAGGCCTAAGGCCGATTTCGTCTTGAAAAAGGACCAAAGGAGGGAAGTACTTGAATGGATCAAGAAGCTAATGTTCCCTGATGGGTATGAAGCGAATCTAAAGAGGGGAGTTAACTTAGGCACTCTATGAGTCAACGGGATGAAGAGTCATGACTACCACATATGGATTGAGCGGCTTCTTTCGGCGATGGTTTGAGGCTATGTCCCAGAGCATGTCTGGCAAGTACTGGTAGAGTTGAGCTACTAATTCCGCCAGCTTTGTGCCAAGGAGCTCTCTCGGACCGTCATTGATGACTTGGAAAAAGCGGCACCCGTGTTGCTCTGTAAGTTGGAGAAGATCTTTCCACCCGCCTGCTTCTTGTCGATGCAGCATTTGATTGTGCACCTCCCGTATGAGGCACAGATGGGGGGGCCCGTGCAGAACCATTGGCGCTATCCAATCGAGAGATGTCTGAAGACTCTTCACAAAAAATGTAGAAATAAAGCTAGAATTGAGGCTTCCATTGCAGAGGCATACATTCTAGAGGAGGTGTCGAACTTCACAGAGAAATACTACACTGAGAAACTTCCTAACGTTCATAAT